TGGGGCGGGGAGGCCGAGCGGGGGCCTGACGGTGCCAAACCCCGGCACAAGGAGCGGGGACAGGGACACTGACGATGCTCTCCTTGTGTCACCACCGAGCGCTATTTCGCACATCGAACAAGCCACTTCTGTCCCCACCGAGGGTAACTGGCCAAGGGGACCGGGACAGCCATCCCTCCCTGCGCCCCTGGGCTCCGACACCGGGATCAGGGAGGCTTTCCCAGAGCTATTTCCTCTGCAACAGCACGCCCGCAGCCTCGCAATCCTCTCAGCGAGCTTTGCCTGCCCTGAACTAGATCATGAGGACAAACTGCTTCTATGTCCGACAGATGGGAACTAAACCTAATCCCCAGCCCCGCACGGCCCCGGGCAGCAACGGTGGCGGCGCTGCGGAGGACCCGAGCCCTGCGGGTGAGGAGCCCACCCCTCCTCTGCATGGCAAAAGCTCTGGGAATCTTGCTCCTCCCCAGCTCCCCCCTAGCAGAGTTCTGGATGATGCTCTAACTCCTGTGCTCCCGGCGCTGCCACCATGGCTGTGCCGTGCCACCGGGGGACGAAGGATGTCACCATACACTCCACGTGCCTGGGATCCCAGCGCTTGCCTGTGCTCCCCCGGGAGGGGTTTCCAGCTCTGATCACCCCACCTCTGCCCTCCCAGATCACAACCAGGAATAAATCCCCCCCTCCGCCTCCTCCTGGCCCACTCCTTCCCCACGCCTGCCGGGGGATTCCCAGCCACGAGGGATGTTCAAAGTGCTCCACAAAACCCAACTCCCATCACCTGGCTGGCACCTGCCCCCCACGAGCATCCCCAGCCCCTGGTCCTTCCCACACTGCTGCCCCTCACACCTCCCTTCCCAAAGCATCAGGACAGAGCCCAGAGACCGAGAGCTGGTTCAGAGACGCGTGCCCGCAGGGAGACTTTGCCATGAAATTCTCCAGAGGCTGCTCTCTCCCGTTCGGCTCTGCCACCACGGCGTGGGGACCTGCCGGGTGCCCAGGGGCAGACCCAGCACACACGGGCTGCTTGGCTTACGCCAGCGCTGCTTGCATTCATCCCCGAAAACTGCCGCCTCGCTTACTTCCACATGTGTGCCTGTTCATCCAGCAAGAGCCTGGCCCCTGAGCCTCCAGCAGGAGAGAACGACTTGGTTGGTATCTCGTGCTCCCACCGACCTCTTGGCTCATTAAGCAACTTGCACTGCACATGCTACCAACGTGTTGGTAATTAAAAGCAAAACTGGAGTGTATTAATGATGGCCGGGATTTCCAAACCCCAACCCAGCAGCCTGCTCCCGAGGGTCTCTGGGGGGACGGTAGGGATGACGAAGGGTCTTACCTTGGCCTTGCCCGTGCTCTGCAGGATGTGCACCAGAGCCGACGCCATCTCCTCTTTGCTCTTCACGCTCAGCGAGGGCTCCAGCACCGAGCACAGCACCATGTAATTGTTAGTGATGTACTCGGCAAACTCTTTGTACATCTCCATGGGAAGAATGCTCATACTCTGGTAGCGCGACTTGATGCGGATCATGGGCCCCGGGGACTTGCCCTTCCCGGGGTTGGGGCTGACCACCGGGTACCATTTCTCTACAAACTGCCGGCCCGTGACAGAGCTGACGGGGATGTTCACTTGTCCAATGAAATTGGTCTTGTCCTTCTTTTTCTTCTTGTCAGTCTCTTTGTATAAGTGCACCGTAATGTTTTTGAGTGATGGGAGGTTATTAAATTCAAAGTGCTCCCCCCAAAAGACATTATCAGTTTTCAATTTACAGGTAGTTCGTGCATAAAGAACGTCATCCAGGCATAATTCACACAGGTACTTCTTCTTAGCTGGCAGGTCCTTGGCTTCAATAATCCATAACTTCAACATATTTTCCACCCTTCTGCTGTTGTCCTGAAAAAAAAGATGCAAAGAAAAAAAGGTCAATAAAAAAAACCAATAAAGCCAAGCAGAACAAAACTGGAGATATGAGTTAATTATTTTGGATGTGCTAAATGAGCAAAGGCTTAATTACATTTTATTTCAATGAAACACTGGCTCTCAGGAATTTGCATAACAACACTACTTATGTTAATTTTCCAAATATCACCGTGCTCTCCATGCCTGTTGGTGCAGAGGCAGATAAACCCCCTCCACATCAGAAATGTACCGTTCCCCATTCGCTGCCAAGGGGCCTCCGAAGGAACCTCACCGACCATCAGCGGCTTTTGCAAAGCAGAAGTGATGGCACAGGTACCTCACAGCCACCTCCTCCCCTAGCACAGCCGCTTTACAGCAGCCCTGGAGTGCATTTTATTAACGGTAACAGAGCAACACTAACGAGATCTGAACACACCCAGGGATCACCTCACCCGCGGCTGGGACACAACCACCCCTGGCAGGGAAAGCAGCATCTACAAAACCTCGTGATACTTTAGGGCAGAAGTCCAGGCACCCAACTGAAACATCGAGAGGAATTGTGGGGGCCAGAGCAAGTTCGACCATCCAGAAACAGAAAGTTGGCTTGGAGATCTTTTAAACAATAACGGAGCAGAGGATGCTGTGGATCTGAGAGCTCCCCAGCGATGCTGACCTCATCCTGCAAGAGCATCCAGGGGCATCTATTCAGGAGTGACTTAAAAGACAAAACTCTGGCACCTGGACCGCTGCAGGGACTCTGCCATCGCCTGTTTTGTTTGGAAACCCCTCCCTGGACCAGCAACCACGGCTGGCTCCGCTCCGCCCGGGAGCCGGGGCAGGAACGCCGCTGCTGAAGCCCACAATGGGGTTCTGCAGGGGCAGGAAGCACACACAGGAACCGCACAGGAACACTGAATTCCCGACAGAAATATCAACTCAGATACTGGGAGTTTATTGTCTGCAAACTCAAACAAAGACGGAAAGTTCGCCACAGCTAACGGCGTGTTTCGCGATGAGGGCACGCTTCCAAATGGATTTCCACTGAACGCTCCTCCTCAGAGCCACAGGGACGTGCCCAGCCCCAGGACTCTGCTCGTGGTAAGCGTGACCACGGAGACCTTACCCAGCTCCTCCACATCGCTGCTGCCAGGCTGCTGCCCTCGGAAAGCACCCGAGTGGCTGAGCTGCACCTGCAGAGCCACGCTGCTGGAGGCAGAGCCCACCTCTCCCCTCCGCCGCTCCCGCTCAGGTATTAAAGGAAATCTTGTGCACTGACATTTGGCACCACGCTGGGACAATAAACCGACCCGGAGGGCTCCTGCGGCACCCCGCCAGGCCTGGACTGACTCGTACACAGTCAGGTGGCTCTGGTGCCAGGATCCCATCATCTGCATCTTCTCCCATCAGCAGCAGACCTGCTGACTGAGCTCCTCAGCTGTGAAATCCTGCGGACGATCAGTCCTGATCGATCTTTGTTAGCTCACTCTAGAGGGAAGAGCAGCTGCAGACTATTTTAGGAGGCACTTTGTCTTAGTGGGCCATAAAACCGCTCCCCAGGTGTCCCAGTGAGGAGGAGGATTTGTTTCTGTGGAACCCGGAGGGGAGGACTTTGCCACCTCACCTGGGTGGAGAAGGGAGAGCTACGTCCCACCACCACCTCAGAGAACTCACTGCGATGGGCATCTGAGCTTCTCCCATGGCTAACGCAGACGCTGCAGGTGCTGCTGGAGTCAGAGGTGGGATATGTGAACTCTGGAGGCTTTTCAGTCCCGTACCGAACAGCACAGCCTCCTGCCACCTGCCCCAGAGCTGCCAGGGGGCGCAAAGTCCCACGTAAGTGGCCAGTGTCGTCACTAACAGAGCAAGACTGAAGATTCTTCAGGTCTGATCAATTCTTAGCAACAGCTGAAGCAGCACGTGCCGAGAAAAAGAGGGGAAGAAATAATTGGCACTTGCCTGTAAATATAATTGTGGAAGAAACCGATATGGAAAAAGGCTGACCCCCAGTGACACTTACTCACTGAAGTGACAATACGTCCCCTGCCGCCGCTATGCACTGGTCTATAAAATGTAATAACGAGGAACTGAACTATAACAGAGGCAATTCCTCAAAGCCACTACCTTATTTGGGTGCACGGCACGCCGCAGGTTTTCCATCCATTTATCTCGCTCTGCTGCAGAACGACACGAGAAGCACTTACTTCCTGATGAAGTCGTCACCTACAGGGAAAGGAACAGGATTATGTCTTGACCAGCACACCACAGACTGTGATTCGGGGGGAGAGGGGGAGTTAGGAAAGATGCTAGTGGAATTTTTTTTTTTTTTTTAAGTAAACAGCTTTACCCAAGCATGAAGCAACAGCCCCTAAGGCTAGCGGAAAAACAGGGCAACTCAGTATGTCACAGAAATCATCATGGAAGCAAATTCCAATTACTTCTCCTCTGCCACCGCAGAAAACACCGGATAATGGGCCCCATGCATGCGACCACCAAGTTCCACAACTGAGAGAGTGCAAATCTCAGACAAACTAGAGATAAATCCCAACCACTTGGCGCTCCTCCAGACTCAGCCCAAAGCCCGTGATAGCAACAACCCCTTCCCTGTCTCCAGCAGAACACCGGGCCCAGAAAGGCCGGCTTCACACCTTCCCCCTTCGTCTGCCGCTGTGCAGAGCACGGGGCCAGGCACACGCTGCCCGCGCCCGGCAGCAGCACCGGCTGAGCTCCCGGCTGGGGCTCCTGGACCTGGAGATGCTGCTGAAGGGCTGCTGCATCCTCCTCTCACTTCTCACACTTCCAGAATCCCTCCAAGGATTTGTGTGACTTTCTCTGGCCATTGGGATTTCACAGCCAGGTTTTGAAGCAGCCTGGTCACAGCAGTGACATTTCCCATGGTACAAACGCCCCTTAGTCCTTATCACATCCCTGCGACTGCGTGGGAGCTCAGTCCTGGTGGGAGCCCCCAGAGCACCCCCAGGATGGCAGGAACCCAACATCCCATCCCACCCACCACACCAAGCCTCCTCGGCATCAGTTACTTGGCCAAAAAAAAAGTTCTCTGCATCTTCTTACATGCACGTAGCCCTTGAGCCGCATCTCCTCCAGCCCTGCTGGCAGCGGACAGACCACCGCTGGGTACCAGAACTCTGCGCAGCCCAAAAACCATTTGGTGACGTCCAGCAATACTCTGTGTGCATCCCTGCTCGCAGGCCAAACGGACCTGGCCAGCAGTTGAAACAACTCCCCTCTGAGCTCCATTTCTGCCAATCTCAAGCTGCAGAATTACTTCCGAGTACTTCACCACCTCTCAGTGTTGGTGTTTGCACGCCGCACGCTGGGTTATCTGCTTCTGGGAGACACAATCTCCTCTCATTTCGTCTGTCTCCCAGCCGCCCAGCCTGTGCTTACAGCAGCGCTGGCACTTGCTGCAATTTGTCATTAGCTAACCTCAGTGACGAGCTGGGCGCATCCCTCCCTTTGAACACAGACATCCTCTGACCAGGACAAAATGACAAGAGGCCCATCCTGTCTTCACGCAGCAAACGCCAGAAATCTTCCAGCCCTTGATGTCCCAGAAGCTTTCTCCTTCGGGCAGACACTCTGCCCTTTCCTTACACGCTTTCATCCTCTGCCCTGTAAAACTATTTATTTTTCTGAGCACAAGTTATCTTCTATTTCCAAGAAGACTCCATATTAGCAGGCACAGCAGTATGATTTTTCCAGCATCTTTTCACGCTTATTTCCAGCTTCTTCAACGTTTCCCATGACAGCTCTGGCCTGCTTCATCCCCTGTTTGCTGCTGCGGATGCTCATGTGAACCTCTGTCCCTGAACCTTCCCAGACAGACTTCTGGGGGCACACAACACATACCACCTGCAAAACCGTGCCCAAGGTGTGTGATCTCTCCACCCTGTTCTGCCAGAGGGTACGGCAGCTTTGCATCTCGATCCTTTTCCCAGCACAAGTTCCTGCACCAGCGCCCGAGCCCAGCAGAGCCACGCGCCTGCCTGGGAACGACAGCGGAAGAGCAGCGCCGCACGGCTGCACCGCTGCTGACGTGGTGCTGCGCCCTCCGAACGCTGAGTTACAAATACAGAGACCCCAGAAGCAGCACTCAGCGACAGTTTTTAAGAGCAGAACTGACAGCGAAGTAACACGGGAGATGCACAGCAAAGGAGCATTTCGCCAGCTCCCTACCTGCTCGGTCGCTGTGAACTTCTAAGGCTGGAAAACTGTTCTTCGGAAACGAACCTAACAGTTCAGAACCTGAGCCCTGTCTTATCTGGCCCAGCTAATGCAGCTGCAAAACACTCGAAATCATCCACGTTCAAGTCCCAAGCATCAGAGTCCCGACACTACTGGTACGGCCACGCTGCCCCGCAGGCGTTACGCCGGGATTCTGCACCTCGCAGCGGGACAAACCCTCCCACGGACATTCGGACTGAGGTCAGAAAATTCAGTCCGCTCTGATCGCCTGGAAATCAGTTAATAAAGGCGGAAAAGGTCAAATACACCTTTCAGTAAACTCTACCATTAGCCCATTGCCTCACAGGCTATTTCTCACCCAGCTTTTTGTTCAGCTCTTTTGTTCTTAAGGGCAGTTGGTGCACAAATGGATTTGAAAACAATATTCTCAGATCTGGAGAATCTGCTGGGCAGCTTGGGAGCTCTTCCATAAACGAGCGGTATGACTTCTCTGATGTTGAAAGATGCTCTCTTAAAGACAAGTTCTCCTTGGTGACATACATGGATCCCGCAGCTGCCTAGAGGATTCATATCCAAATAAATAAGCATGCAATTTAGCTGTCCTTCTCCTGAATCTGTTAATTAAATGTCAGCTTTCACCAGCTCTCTGTTAGGCTGAATATCTAATATATTTTCTTGCCACACTTAAGTCAACATACTATCATTGAGTTATCATGGTAAAATTTATGATTCAATTCCAAAACAATTACCAATTAACTAATCACTCAAAACCTAAAAAACCTGTAACGGTCATACTTCAGAGAGAGGAGGAGAAAATCCTCATGTGTCAGACATGAAGCGCCCTTGATCCGATGGGAGCTGAAGGTCGTATCTACCACGTGTGGCCAGAAACGTAACTTCCCCAGATCTGCAGCAACACCCCAGCTTTGAGCTCTGACCTCAACATCATGCATCATTTCATGAGATGTTAATTATGTTGTTGGAGTACCCTGGTATCATCAAAATTTTGGATATGCTAGAATACCATCAATGTACAGGATAAACCCAATTAATAAAACGCATTAATTTCTAAAACGTTACTTATTCACATTCATCATTCACAGTCCTCGGATGGGTGATCCCTGCAGCTGGACAACATCTGGTCATTTTAGGAACGTCTCCGGTGCAGCAGGGGTTTCTCAAAGCGCACTCGAAGGAATCTCACTGGAGCACCAACAGATGAGAACTGAGCTACGGAAGCTGCTCCACCCAAAGCGCTCACAAGATTTTACGAGGACAAGTTAGGGCTCGGGCTGGTCAATGCCACTGCGACCCAGCGCAGAGGGCAAACCAGCGCTGCCGCGGCGGCTGCGGGGCCACGCGAGCAACGGCGAACATTTGCACAGCTGGACTACATTTAGTGGAGCTAAATTTAGCTCGACTAAATTCTCCCTTGCTCAGGCAAGGCCAAGCTGAGGCGACACGGTTTCAGCTGCATTGGAGCAACTGCAGTTTTCCTTTCTCCTGCTCCGCATCCCCCAGCCGCATCCTGCGACAGCCCGGACGTGGCTCTGGGCTGCCGAGACAGGAACAGAGCCCGTCGGTCCCCAGTCCTCAGCCTGGCTGAAGTCAGCAGGACCCCACAAATAGCACCGCCAGGAATAGGCTCTGGGAGCCTGGACTGCGAGCCTCCCTCCCTGGCCGGAGCGGCTGCTGTATATTTAGCACAGGCAGCGGCGCTGTGTGGTTGTGCTGACTGGGAGGTCTTATAAGGAGAAAGACGATGATGTTGAGTAACTTTTTTAAAAAAATCAATGAAGAAAACTGAGTGCCAAGTACTCAGCAAGTCAGAAGAAAGCAAGTTGCATAGAACTAAAGCAGCAGCAAAAGCCAAACGCAATGCAAAAGCACTGCATTATCGTCGGCTCTCCCCACCCCCAGCCGAGGCAGAGCCGAGCCATCGCCCTCCGCACGCCCTAATGCAGGTCCGTCCGGCTAAAGGAGAGAAACAATGGCACCGGACCTTCCTATAGCCAGCTGCCTCCCAACGAGACGCTTGTTTTTTTCCACTGCAGATGGCTTTGGCACCTCTCGCTTCTGTCTCCATTTGGGTCCGCTGCCAGTTCCCTCTCTGAACCTGCCCTCGTCAGCGCGACTCCATCTGCAGCCACGTCAAACCCTGCCGCCTTGCTCTCCGACCCACGGGGCTGCTGCTGCGGCTCGGTCGAGGAGGACCCGCGCTGCCCATGCTGGCAAGCCTGGACCCCATCAGTTTCTGGAAGAGCTGCTGCAGGGTATGAGTGAGGGACCCCAAGGAGCACACGGAGCCAACCCAGCCAACCGAGCCCCAACATCCCAAAGAGAACCAGCAGACAGCAGCCAGCGGGTGATGGAAGCAGCTCCCTGGGCACTGGCCACTGCCCGACCACCCACCGCAGGGAGAAGGTGGTTAAGGACGGTGTGAGGTTGGCACTGGCTTCACTTCTCAACCGGAGACAGCAAACGTGGCCGTTCCTGGCAGATCTCCCTGGAGAACGGATCCACAACAGCGTCAAAGTGCAGGGACAAGGCACCATCACCAACCGCAGCACCTTCCCAGCAGAAAACCTCCTGGTTCCCCTTGGCTCCGTGACCCAGGCAGGTCGTCCTCACCGGACGTCTCGTAGTCAGGCCTTTTCCAGGACATCAGCCGAGCTTCTCACTCCTCGGTGTTCCCACACGCAGCAGTGTCATGGCTCTGGTCACGCTGCCCAGCGCCGGGCATGGCACAGGCTCATCCCAACGGCAACACCAACCCTCCTCCAGCGGCACCTCCTGCACGGCACACCGGCACACCTCCATCCCTGCCCGCTGCCCCCAGGGACCCCGGGAGAGCCGCAAACTCACGTCAGCGCTGATCTCCCTCCGAATGGGAAGGAGGGTCTCTGGAGAGACAGGACCAACACGACAACACAACATGCCACTGAGCTCCCACCTCTGTCCGTCCTGCTGGAGCTTGTTGAGGAGCGACCGTCAGTTACCAATCAATGTCTCTTTTGTTTTCTGTCATTCTTCCTTTCCTCTGCAGGATTTGCAGAACAGCAATTAACACGTTCTTTTTTTTTCTGTATGACTTCTTTATCCAACTCACTTAAAAATATAATTTTCTTCCTCTTTACAAGTGCATGACTTGTGTAATTTCCCTCTCAGTCAACTTTCCACAAGTACTGTTCACATCCCTTCCTCTGCTCTTGTGCGCTGAACAGAATTGGTAAACAACTCTTGTATTATGGATGTCACATCTATTTTCCATCTAGCTTCATTTTCTCTTTCTTGAGTGGAATGTAATAGTGGCCATATAATGTACAAAACTGTTCTCCTCCTGACCTGCCACGCTTGCTCCATTCTACAGAGAATGAACAGCACCGGAAAATTCATACCTCAGCCCACTTCAGAGTCGTGTTTGGGCTATTTTTTGTAAGATTTTTTTCTGTTACCTATTCATATTTTAACAAATGGATCTTTTAACTCGTTTCTTTCCAAATGTGCTAATTTCAGTAAAGAAATAAAATCTTCACCTCTTCAGTCTGACTCCTCTTGGACACTGCCAGCGCCGTCCTCACCCAGCACTGCCCACGCCAGGGAAGCCTGCAGACCCATCACCCCCCACCCGATGATCCAACAGCAGATACACGGGCTGTCTGCTCTCCTACATCCAGCTGCAAACAGGTCACCCTCTCTTCAGAGAAACACAGGCACCGACTACCTCCTTACAGTAAGAAACCATCTCCCAGTTCCCTACCCAGCCACTGCCAGAACCAGTGATACTCTGGATCCATGATGCAGGACAAGGGATTCCCAGGACACCTTACACTGGATTATCCGCTACAGACTGGTTTGTACATGTCCTACCGCCTCCTGCTAGTACAGACCTAACCACATGCCATATCGGGTGTCAAAAAGAACCTGAACTACTCACAGATTCTTCTATTTACCCAAACAAGCGAAGCTTCAGTTTTCTAGACAAAGTCCTCAACAGCCCCACTGACAACAGCGGGCTACCTTTGTGACCACGTGCGATGTCTTTGTGAACGCTGAGCAGGGATTAGCACTTTACAATATCTCTACGAACATAAATACGAATTAATGCTCTGCCAATACACAGCCTGAAGCAGTTCAGCACCCGCGCCAGCAGCAACCTCTGCTGTGACAATGGTTCCAGGGCCAAGATTTGGTGGCCGTGATCCTCCTTGGTGCTTAGGAAATGGTCCCTGTGCAGCAGTTCAGAGCAGAAATGTTTTATACCAGCGAAAGCCCAAGATGCAACCCCACACCAGGCTGCCCAGCCAGCCCCACCACCCGGGACGGACAGACGGCTCCTTACCTCAAAGCAGTAGTCTTGCCCCAGGATGCTGCTGTGGACCGGCTTGATGACCACTTCTTCCTCCATGCTGAGATCCAGAGCCTCAACAGCACTGCTGGGACTGAGCAAGGACTCGTGGGAGCGCGATTCTTTCAGCCTCGGCATTAGATGGGATCTAGAGGAAAAATGTCACGGTGTCAGTGGATGCTTTGCTTCCCAAAGAACTTATTTAGTCTGTTAGCAACAACTGCAGAATATTCCTGGAAATTTTTTGCCATGAGATAACCAAGGGCCCAGAATAGCCGGGACAGCTACACTGTCCCATTCATAATTTGGTCAGCAGGTTCTGCTACAGGCTGTACATTCAATAAAAACATTTTTCCAAACTCCGAAGCAGTCAGGACTACATTATTAGAGGTTTGTAGAGTGCAGGTCTCTGCACGGCTGAGTATGGCTTTACACGGCCATCACACCTGATGCTGGAGACTGTCCCAGGCTGTTGGGAGCGCGAGTGGATGAGGGAGTCTGTCTGGCCCCAGCATGAACCACTGTGCCCACCAGTACCGCAGCCGGGTCTGCAGCACCTGGTCCCTACCGACAGAAGGAAGGTACCTGCAAATGGGGAGGAATTAACGACAGATCCTTCTAACACCCCAGAGCCGTGTTTGCTGAGTGCACGGGCAGCTCCCGGCACTGCTGGGGCAGACACCCTCCCTGCGCCCAGGCACCCTTCTCCCCCCCAAAACCCACACACTAGTAACACCGACGCAGCCAGCGCCTGGATCCGCGCTCTATCCAACAACCCCAGGGCTCGTGTGCTCTCGCCAATTGTCACACACATCCCTGGGATGGGGACAGCGTGGAAAATAAGGCTGTGATAGCCCTATCGATTGCTCTAAATGCTCTGGAGCCCCACTGGCAGCATTTAGCAGCAGGGAGCCCCCCGACAGCAAGCAGCACATCATTTTCCAGACAGCCAATACAATCAATGGCGCTGTAACTCTTAAAGCAAAACCAGGGAGCTGGGGGGGGGGAAAGAAAGATAGCTAGGTACTCCTGGGGAAAACAGCAAAACCATCAAGTGGCAAGGGAAAAAATAACTGGAGGGCAAAGGGAGCAGCTGCCTTCTCTGCAGCCTGCACCATGTAGAATGTTCCCACAACAGCCAGCTCACAAAAGCTCTGACCCCACTAACTCTGACCTTTAGGGTCTGCCAAAGAGACCACGCGTCCCTCTGTCTACAGAGAGCGTGCGACGCCTTTTTCAAAGGCACGGAAGGGCAGAAATAAGGGGAGTTGGAGATATTCTCAGCATGGTCTTTTATGAGCAAAACAACAATGCTCCCAGTGTACTCAGAGTGCTCTGCCTGTGTGTGTTGAGTTCTGCTGTTCTCCAGTTGACCAGAACACAGGGAAATGTCAATAGAGCATGCAAAACGCATCGCTTCCAGTGAACCACACGCCCAGCTCCATCCAGAAACAGCCAAAGGAGACTGGAAGATGAACAGCAGCGGAAGATAAACAGGTGCTGCTCGAGATCTGCCATTAAGATTCACGCCATCGATGAACCCCCAGGTGATAAAGCACCAGCCCGCAGCTGGGCTCTCAGCTGAACATGCTAATGGCCAGCTCTGGGAGCCACGGGCCACCCCAGCGGCGCGGCAGAACCAGCCTGGGGACACGCTGCCAGAGGGGACAGGACAGCACAGCCTCCAGACACCCCTGCACCTACTGGGGCTGACAGCCAGGACCGGCGGCGGTGGTGCCCCTTTTCTGCAGAAAAACAGAGTGCGACACCAAAATCTTTTTCTTAGGGGACAACCGCCAGCCCTCCCATGTTAAAGCCCTGGATCAGCGCAGCCCGGTGCTGGGTCAGAGCCGTGGCTCGGAAGCAGAAGTCTCTCCATCCCATTAGCGATTCTCTAAACTGCCCACTCACCCCTTGTCTCTATGGGGAATAAACTGATCTAGAGGAACTGAGCACAGTCGTTTCCCAGTACTTTGCGGCAATTTTACACTATTTTCACAGAACAGGGTCCATATCCCTTTCCTCTGAATGATACCGTAAATGAACTCGAACACAGGCAGGCAGATCACATTGCCTCTGGATGCTGGATGCAGAACTAATATCCAGCAGCTCCAGAACTGACAATACAGACTGCTCACCAAGCCCCAATAAGCCCAGAATCAAGGCATTTATGGTAAATCTTATTTTCATATTTTACAGATGAAATTAGAAAAGGCAGGTAACCAAGCCGAGGCTCCCATTCTGGTTTGGACAAATGCAAAGGTTGATAATCTAAACTTGGGAATTACACACTGTAACGCACACACCTACATCCCTGAGCTGGGCTGCTTCGTGCTGGTCTAAGAATTTTTGTTAAAATTAAACCAAAACAAGTCCATTTTTCATTTAAAACTACCATGGCTGCGGGTGGGAGTGCAGATGTGCTGGACAAACACTCACCAAGGGGTTTCTCAGGACACGCTGTGTTCTCACCAGGGTCAGCAAACGCGTATTTATATCCCTCCATCCTCTGCCGTATGCCTCTGGGAATCCTAAAATTAACGGGACTTTTCCTGGGCAGGAGGTTATTTGTTGGGTTCGTGCCTCAGCAAGACCTGCTCCCACGACATCCTTTGCTCTGGACCGGCCGATCAGACCCAACCCAGGCCAGCCACAGAAACCTTTCTCACCAGGCACTGCAGGGCACAGAGGGAGCGCTGCGGGTCTCCAACCAACCCTAAAACACCCAGCATCTGTCTGTGCATCACGAGCCACTGACCCCGTCCCCTCCCCAGCACCCCCACAGCCGACCCTGACACCCCGGCACTCTCCCCACGGCAGCCCAGCACGGTCCGGGGGCCTGCGAACACCCCCGAGTGCACGAAAGGTGAAACACCACCAGCCCTCAACAGACACACGGTCCTTCCATTGTAACCCCCGTTCAGAGGAAGGAGCATTTCTCCTGTCCCTCGTACGTAACGTGACATTTGCGGCAGGAGCCCATTTACTGGAAGATGTTTGCAAGTCCCTGTCGCAGCTCCCACGGTCTTCCCTTTGCATTAACAGTAAGGAAAAGGTTCTGCTGAGGCCAAAACTGCTTCCCGGACTCAGAGGGTGCGGGCACTGTCCCTACCGAAAGGACCACCCAGCCTTCCCCCGTCTGGGCAGGGAGAACACAAACCCACCCAGGGCACGTTACCGCACGATAACGTCTCTGTCCTGTATGACATCAGGCCATAGAAGACCTGGAGGGCTTCGTCCAAAGACCATTTACTGGGTGAGGGCTGGCGACTGCTAAAAAAACCCCAACAAATCCACTCGCTGATGAAGCAGCGCAGAAACATTAATCACCCAACGCGATGGCTGGACCCAGCCTGAAACGGATCAGCAGGCACCGGTGCGGCTGTGCTGGTGTGCCCCCGGCTGCTGGGGTCTCGTCTCGGTTCCCTCCAGCTCTGCCCTGAGACTCACCAGCCACAGGTGGGATTACCCCCCAGGGAGGAGACCCCAACACCCTGATCCCCCCAAGGACTGTACTGATCCACCAGTGCCCCTGGGGCAGCAGCAG